TTCTGGCTGTTGCCGCCAATTGGGGAGTGGAACAGCGGATGGAGGATCTCTCTCTTTCTCTTTCAAATAAATAAATACATCTTAAAAAGAGAAATTACCCTCTCTCATAAAATCAAAGTTAGAATTCTAGGCAGTAGTCTGATCATGGGTAATTAAGACCTTAGTTCCTAGTGTTTATATTAAATGAGAAAGTTCCTAAGCATCAGATACACTGGTTGGAGATCTGACATTCAGAAAATAAAACTAGAAAACATGGCTGATTTACAAACAGAAAGATATACAAAAATAGTGCCAGATTCTGGTGTCAGAATTCAGGTTTTTGTAAACCGGAATCTGCAAACCTCCCCAAGGATCTACTTGCAGGGTTCATTCTTGCACTGGCCAATATCAGAAGCTCTCTGCTAGATTACTTCTACATCTTTGTTTCACTCAAAGTAGCACGCAGCCTTGTAAACATACTTCAAACAGGCTAACTCTCGGAACTTGTGCACAGATGTGTCAGAATTAATTACCTGAGAATGTGTAGAACACTTTTACTCAAAGATTCCCAGAGAACAAAGTCCAAAACCCTACACGGACACTGCATGCTTAGGTAGGATTTGGGTAGGATTTTTTTAAAGGTCCTATGGTGCCCCATTATAGCACCCTATTGTATCCTTATGCAAGATAAATGGTATAGACTAGGCACTTGATTTGTAGCTGTTTAATAATTAAGAAGAAGAACATGGTGAGGCCAATCTCACGGGGTTCCTCTGGAAAAGGGAGGGGTCGAGCTGCAGTCTTCTAACACTGGATTCTGCAGAGTCTGGAGGCTTTGTCTCCTGCGTCTCCAAGTGCTATCTTGGTCCACACATCATCAGTTTTCAAGCTCCTTTGAAGAGTAATTACCCAATGTTCATTTCTCCCAAATGTGAGCCCTAAGGAGACAGACCAGACTTTGTGGTTCCTCTATCAAATTCAACTCCAGGATCAAATTCAAGGAGAGAGATGGAAAACCTCATCTATTCAGCTCTCTGTGAAACTGTTCCCTAGCTAATATTTTATTTACAATCTGTACATTCCATCAACAATTCAAGTGCCTCTGTCCAAATCCATCTCTGTGGCTTGGGGGTAGTGGAGGTCTGTGAACTGTGGGTGCCTCCCAGCAAGAAGGTAAATAATGCATAGAGGGAGGTGTAAGATTCACCTGTGTGTTGTACACAAGCCAAAAGGGCATTGAAAAAGAGGAGAGTGCGGGCAGCTAATAAAAATTCAATAACTCTATCAACCTCAGCCTAGAAGCTACAGTTGACTGAACCTGTGGCATACAATGGGACTTCCTATTTGTAAGCTTGCATGCACGTCCCCACTACACCATCTATCAATCCTGCAAAGGCAGGGCCATTCTTCACTCTCCTTCTAAGGAAATTGACTCCATAGAGGTTAATTGAGCTACTAAGGTTTATGAGATAGGATTTGGGGGCTCAGTCTAATCTGCCTCAAACCCTAGGTAGGACGGCACGAATCCTAGCCTGCTCCTTCTATCATCACATAGCCTTTTCCATCTGTCTGAGCAATCAACAGGGACTTGGCTGGATGGGTTTAGGGTCTTCTACTTGTTTTGAGGATTCCTTCATCATCCTCAATACAGTCCCTGCCCCCAGAAGGAATATTTATGCATTAATGTCCTTAAAGCATTCAATGTAGGCAGGTGCAAGAAAATAGACGAGGGCTTCTTCAAATCTTGTGTTGGAAGGAGCTTCAGAAAATATCACGAGTTGGACAGAAACATCGAATCTATAAAAGGAAATGGGTGAGTGGAAAGGCATCCTTAGTGGGTCTTATGTGATTATCTTGATGTTGGGAATCACCCAAGGCTCTACAAGTGCAGCCAGGGAGATGTGGTAGCATTCACCCCTTTTCTGTGGAGGGCTGGGAATGTAGGAGCCACCATGGACCTATGACACATGACACACTTTTGGTTCGGATTTTAGCAACCACAGAGATTCACGGTAGAAGCTTCATGAAGAACAGAGGTTTAGGTTGGCAGTTAAATAGCTCTTCAACTGATGACAGGAGGAAAGTAAATAGTTCTTTAATAAATTTAAATTTTATCTTAGGAAAGAATGGGATCATCAGGTATCAAGGAGACTCACAGAACCAGATCCTAATGTGGCATCTCAGGAGATGACTGGACTTAACTGTATCCTTTATTTTTCTCTCTCCTGGGAAGTCTTTCTAAACACCTATGGCTTGGATAAGAACACATTTTGGTGTTGACAAAATACCCTACCTTACCGCCTACCATATTTAACAAAATTATTAGCTTGAATGTCACCAATCCCCACTCTGACTGGAAGAAATACCTCAAAAGATGCTATTTGTCTCTGCCCATTTAGCACTCCCCCAACAAACAAACAGACAAGTAGAAATGAGCAGGGAGCTGAGCTGACTAGGACTGAAGAAAGATGTTAAACACAGAAATCTTCCTTCAGAAGATTTCCTCCAGGAGATTCCCACTAGCTCTGCACCACCTGCATCCCAATGACATCATCTCCTGGAAACAGGAGTGGGTCTCCAGACACTTGGCTACCTGCCTCCACAAACTCAAGGGCGGGCCCCTCTCCCCCAGCCAGCTCTCGTTCTGTGGCTCGCTCTTCTCTAGTCTTTTCCAAGATGAGCTGGTCCCATGAATCCTTTAAGATGCCAGAGCACTCCAGAGAGTCTGAAATCCAAGGGAACTCTCAGGCTATCATCTGAATTCCCTTCTTTTCGACTGAGACTCTGCTCTCAGATTTAGGAAGATGTGAAAACCTCCCATGCCCAGCCCTTGTGGAACCCTCGGTGGAGTCCTGCTCAGAGTTCTTAGTGCTAAGTATGGTTGGAGAATCCTGGCCATACTACTGTCACTACAGAGGCACAATCCACCATCACAACCAAAATGATTAGGCATACTGATGGAGTATTACAATTAAATCCCTTCAGCAGTAGTCAGACACACATTGTTCCACCATTTGAAAGCGCTTGTGTCTCTCCCTGGCGATTGTGGCATTAATTAGTTATGCATGGGTATTCCCGGCAAAGAGCAGGTTCATTATAAGTTAGAAAATTTCAATTTTATAGCAGGTGTGTTATGCTGAGATTTTTATAAATTGTTCATGTGAGGATAGGCCATATAATTTTACTTTATTTTTTTTTTCTGTTCAGTATAGTGTGATGCTGAGGGTATACACAGCAAAAAGCTACAATTACCATGTTCTGAGGTAAGATAATGATTTTCAGACAAACCAACGTGGCAGAAACCTGCAATTTCGCATTTACAGCTTATGAATCTTGCTTTCATAATTACATGAGCCCAGAGGGTAACTTGTTTGTTTCTTTCTTCCTCCATAACTCATTATGTGACCTTGGGAAAAAAAAAAAAAACCTCTATCGCATTTCTGGACTATAAAATGGGCTCAATACTATGAGGATGTAGATGCAAATTTTACTCTCAATGATACCTTAAGACATATGGACAGACAGATAAGGTTTCTGACTTGTACATGCATTTTGGAGGATGGGGAGAACTTAGGGCCAGCTGATCTCTGGTTTGTTATTTTCTGCCTTTTTTTTTTTTTTCTGTAACTTTGTCCACTAGGAAGCTGTGAGTTGACTCAACTTTAATTACGCAGGAAAACTGAAAAGCCTTGTCTTCGTCCTTTGCACTCTAGTTTCATTTCTTTATACTCTCAACTTTGTTTTATTTGGAAACACCTCAAATGCTCTATGTTAGAATGGGTGAGACAGGAAAAAAATGATGAAAAATATTTCCTTGCCATCATCAGTGTGATGGAGCGTTGACCCAGGCTAATTCAGGTGACATCAGACGCATAAGCAACAGAGCTGTTGAAAACCACATTTAACCCTGCCTGCCAGTCCTGAGGGTGGCTATATTCTCTCTAAGGACCAGGAAGCCAGCTACAGGTCAGAGAAGCCTCCTGGCAGATTCTCTTGGGTATTGCTGACTTTCCCCCAGAGTAGGGTTTCTGTATGGCAGCATGGTGGACAAGTTGAGCCTAACTACTCCCTGTGATGGAGGGATGGCCCTGCATCCCTGGACTGTACCCCTCGATGGCCCTGCATCTCGTGCTCCTGTCCTGACAACCAGCACCGCTGTTTTCCTTACAAATGCCCCCCTGTTCTAGGGCCACTGCCGTAGAAGCATCCTTCCCTCTCCTATCCTAAGGGCCAGGAATGTTCTCCTGGTGTCTCTAACGAAGGGCAGGAAGGGTAGCACCTCAGCATTGCCAGCCACTATGTCAACGCCTTTTTTTTTTTTTTTTTTAAAGCATTCACCACCATTTCTTGATGCTCACCTGGCCACACCGAAGTCCCACATAAGGACCCAATAAGCAGCCGGCAACAAACCCATCTGCATTCTCCTCACAGAGGAGAAAAGAAAGCCAATGCGTTTGTGAAACACAACCAAAAAAGCATCTTAATTCCAATTCCACTCAACTCTTGAATGTTTGCCTTTGACGCAACACCCAATTTCTCATCTCACACACAGGTTCATAAACCTCAAAGCACAAGGCGTCTTTGGGGAGGGCAGCGACTACACCCCAGCGATTTTTATGTATGGAAACCTCACATCCCTCCGTGGAGGAATTCAGGGGCAAAAGTGGTCCAACCTCCTTAATAACCAGATGTTTGCAATCATCAGAAATACATCTTAGGCTGTAACCATTTCTCTGTTCTCCAGCATTCAGTCTCAAAGAGAATTTACATAACAACATGTGACATGTCAAATGCTTAAAGGTACCAACCATGACAGGACAAATTACACTCATTTTTCAACACTCTTTGCAAGGTGCACCACTTCAGGCGCGCGCCGGGCTGCATGCTGGGGCCTTTCTGGAGGCGCAACCAAGACCATCATGCGCGGGCAAACAGCTCCGTGCCTCCGGGGAGGGAAGGAAAGAGGGAGGGAGGGGTGGTGCAGGGAGGCCCGCCTTGGAGGTGGGGGCTGCCCCACTTACCCGCCGTAGGCCGGGATCGGGGGCGGGGGCGCCGCAGCCCTGAAGGTGTTGTACACGGTGCGCCCGCGGCCTCGGAGGTGCGCCCCTCGGTAGGCGGCCGCAGCGGTGGCGGCTGGATACGGGAAGCCGGGCACTGTGGGCGAGAGGAGAGACAGAGCAAGGCGGTCAGATGCACACCTGCCCTCTGGGCCACCTGTTCCAGGGCCTTGTCCCTGCAGGGCCAGGTGAGGTCCCGGCTCCCCACCCTGCTGAGATCACGAGACAAAAGGCAGAGAACGGCTGGGTGGGACAGCAGTCACCGGAGAACAGGGTAGGCGACCAACAGAGGAAGGCTCGCTACACAGACTGCAAGGTTAACAGAGACGCACACGCAATGTCTTCTCAACCACTGTACTCCAGGGGATCCCAAAGCGTTTGCGTGGAATGGAACGAAAAGTGTATTCTGGTGCAAAAAAGTTGTGAAATCCATGCCTAACTTTTTTTTTTCAAAATAAACATTTTCTGGCTGGCGCCGCGGCTCACTAGGCTAATCCTCCGCCTTGCGGCGCCGGCACACCGGGTTCTAGTCCCGGTTGGGGCGCCGGATTCCGTCCCGGTTGCCCCTCTTCCAGGCCAGCTCTCTGCTGTGGCCAGGGAGTGCAGTGGAGGATGGCCCAAGTGCTTGGGCCCTGCACCCCATGGGAGACCAGGAGAAGCACCTGGCTCCTGCCATCGGATCAGCGCAGTGCGCCGGCGGCGGCCATTGGAGGGTGAACCAATGGCAAAGGAAGACCTTCCTCTCTGTCTCTCTCTCTCACTGTCCACTCTGCCTGTCAAAAAAATAAAAAACAAACATTTTCCATAAAAGTTTTGAGGACCCTTTGTATGCATGGATGTCAAAACACTTTGCACCAAAATACACTTCCCTTTTAATTCCATTTCCTTGAACTTTTTAAAGTGCCTGCACATGGGGGCGTCCCAAAGTTGGTGGAAAATTCACAGTATCTTTGAAGTTCATGAACTTTCTGAAGCCCCTTGAGACATGTGTAAATGTACATCTGGATGTGTACGCCCATGCCTGAGTGTATAGTATAAATATGCATATTGTACATATAAATATAAATACAAGGTGTATCCACACATTTCTGTATCTCCATGCAAGTGCATACGTGTGTATTTGTTTATCCATACGCACGCATGTCCACATACTAGTAGCTACCTTGGGGCTGAGTGCACCATGGTTGGTTGTTTATTCACACCTCTTTCCCCACCCATCCCATTCTTATTTCTCTTTATGCAGATGCATGACCTGTGAGGATTTCTCACTGAATATTCCCACACATACACATACCACGGGTGCAGTCACCACTCACGTCCCGAGAAACACATGCTACCAGCATCTAGGAGCCAGCTACCCTCCTAAGCAGCCTTTCAAAGCAAACACAACAGCCAGATCTACCACCAGAGAAGTCTGGGAGCTTCTTCCTGTTGAGAACAAAGCGTGGCCAGGATTTCCTTCCCTGGGGGAAAGTCTCAGCGCCGTGATGAGGAGGCACACGGGGCATTAAGCTGGATAGTTCCTCGGGACCCCTGATACTCCTTCCTGGTGGCTCCATCTGGGACAAGGTGACCCTAGTTTGCATGCGAATCAGGACGGCACAGGGTCCGAAGTGCCTTTGGGAACCCAGCTCTGCCTTCAAGCTTCCCTCGCTTCTCCGAACCTCAGGAGGCTCTCACTATGCTGACCACGCTTGGCCCCAGCAACCAGGCAGGGTATCCCAACCACATCCCACAGAGGGCAGGCCTCCTAGGAAGCCGCTACGCCAGGTGAGCCACAGAAAAGGCTCCGAGCTCTTGCCCTGCACCCAGCACACACACACTGCCTTCCCCGGGCTTCCGCAGAGCACCTGACCTCTCAGGAGAGGTCACCATCTCCACACTGTGTCCAAGAAGCAGCCCACCCACGCCTTCCCACTACACCCGGAATCCGCTCCACGCACACTTCTGCAGGTACTCAGTGAGGTGCATGTAAAAAACAAGCAAAAAGGCACAAAAGGAAGCTGGAGGAAGAAGTGTTCCTGAGAGACCGCAGGGCAGCCACGGGCTGCTCCCCAGCAGGCTGGGGACGGCCACGTTAGTGACCTGGAGACCTAAGAAATACACACTAGGTGTCCACGTGGTACCAACCCACAGAACCTGTTCTCAATCCCATACCACCTCCAGGAATCACATGGACGGGAACCAACCCAGGGGCCCTGAAGCCCGACTGGCTGTTGTGACCCAGAGTGATTGGGATGGGGAGAGGCCGCCCGGCCTGATGGAACCTATCACATCTTTCTCTCATAATGTGATTAAAGCACTAGGATTAGGGAGCCATGCCAGAGCGACTACATCATTCACTCAAGAACACCAGCAAGGCTATCTTCCAACATGTTTATTGTTGAGGACAAATCATTTGATGGAACTCTCTTGCCAGCCCTGGCAACTGACATCCCCGGATCACGTTTCAGCTACCAAGCTTGCAAGCTGACAGAGGGGCGTGCCTGAACAGGGCACAGCCGGGAAATCTGAACATCACCAAAGCACCAGCGTCACCACGGGCTCCAGACCCTCGCTGCAGAAAACGGGCAGGCATGCCTCGGACTGCAATTCTATCTTGCCACAGTGCAGAGATTAAGTTTTCGTAGGAACGCTCCGGATGGTGAAGGAGAGAAAATGAAAAATTCACAATGTGGCAGAGCAGCTGGCTGCCCGTGCGAGCAAACCAGTAATTATGCTGACCCAGGCATTATCACCGGCTACGGGGCCGGTGAGCGAGACAAGATCCCTCTCGGCAACCAGCAGCTCTTGCAGTCGTTCTTGGAGGAGTCAGATGCTGAGAGACAACGTGGAACAGGAGCCCCGCGACACAGTGAGCGGGGCACACACTGTCAGAAGCGGAGCACCAGGGTGCCCTGGGTGCTGTTTCAGGATGGATGCCGCTCCTGAAACAGGATAAGCTATCTGCAGGTCAGACTACTGGGCCCTGTGGGCCCCTCCAAGCAGGGATTGTTGGACGGACTCCTGTCTTGTACAAGGAACACAGGAAAGACCACAAATCAATGCCTGGCTTACATGTCACCTTCCTGGGAGACCAAGCTCCTTTAGGGAAGACACAGAAGGTGCACGGATCACGCTCTGGGCCACAGGCGTCGAGAACAAAGTGCGTGGTGCCTCCACAGCCCCAGGGAAGTACCTGCTCAGCGGCCTCTTCGCTGCTCTGGCTGCAGAGTGGACAAAGTGTCCCTTCTGTGAAGTCTTCCGTTGGTCATCATACTCAACAAGTATTTCCTTCCCTCCTCCTTGTCCTCCTCTCCCTCCCTCCCCCTCCTTCCCTCTTCCACGCCTTTCTTCTCTCCATCGTTCCCCTCCATTCCCTCCTGCTTCCTCCTTTCCCTCCCTCTCCTTCTCTTTCCCTCCCTCTCTTCCTACTTGCTTGCTTCTTTCCCTTCTTGATTTTCACCCTTCCTTCTCATCTATACTTTCAAATTCCCTTTGCAACAAGGCTGCCATCCTCCTCCTCGGCCATTTGACAAACTCAAATAGCTCGGATGGCAGAGTTGAAACTAATGCTGGAATGCAAACGCCATGAGGGCGGTGGTCTCAGTCCACTCTGCTCCTTGATTTAGCCTAGTGTCTGGGACTGGGCAGGTACCGGGTACCTGACACTGCCTGGTCACCCATCTGTGGTTAGGCAATGTCTGTCCACCTCCTTCCACACTGTCCTGTATCACGGGGGCCTTCCCACACTCTGCAGAGGAAGAGTGTGCAAGTCCCATTCCCCGAGCTCTGGCGTGATCGCTGGAAAGATGGCTTCCACTTCCACTTCCAGAGATGCTGCACTGGCCCAGAAAACGTAACCATGCACAGAACATGTGTGATTGCAGGGAAAGTGGAGACGGCTGGTATACACGCATTTATACGTGGATTGATCAGAGCTTCCACTTACATTCTCTCTTAATATTATTACCGCAGCACCATTATCAGGTTTGAGATTCTTACTCTGGGGAAAAATGAGACAAATTCTCCCCCCTACACACCAGGCAATGTCTATTAAAAGGTACAGAGTCACATCACATGCTCCTCATCGTCCCACACAGTGTTCTCTGAAAATCCAGCAAGAACAGTCCATGAATGCTGCAGTTGTGTGTGCCAACAAGGAACAATAGAACACAACAGTGTTTGCCAACTCAGACTTATCTGATGTGAACTGGCACCTGCTGTATTTCTACCCACATTCATTACAGGGTTTTTCTGCTAGATGGATGGTTTACAATACCATAGTTCCATCTCATGCCCCTAAGACAAATGGCCAATTTTCATGGCAAACAACAACAAAACCAACCCACACCTGTACGTCAAACATTCTTCACACATGGGATGAAAGGGACATGTATTTTTCTTACATGCCTACAAGGTAACTTGACTTACAGATGCTGGAATGGGGCTAAATATATATTTCAAGCATGTGATTAAGGTACAGATTAAACAAGACCAAAATGCTTTTATCCTACAATCACATAGGAACAAAATCTCTGAACCACAGGCTTACTCCATTACACGACACTCATCTTTTGCTGAGTTATTGTCATCATGCTGTCAATCAACACAGCAATTCAAGAGTATGGGTCCAATAAGTGAGCAAGACATGTTTGATAAATGCAAAGCAAAATGCTAAATGGAAATTCACAATGTCCTATTTCTGGGATGGAGCAAAACCTGGTTAAAATTGAAGTTATATCAGTTGCCATGTCAATTAACTGTAATAAATGTCTCTTTGTTAATCAAGAACAACTTTGGAGACAAAAATGACATCGTATGACAGGCATTTGTGAACCTCAGCGCTGGAGTTTGACCTTTTTCTTCTTACATTTCGGGTGAATAAACAGGTAAACAGATCACCAATCAGGGATTCAGCAAAGTATTTGGGCTGATATGTGGACATCATCCACAGCGTCCTTAGTTCTTGGCCTAAGGAAGATGAGGAAGGGAAACGCCACAGGTTCATCATCCTGGAGAAGTTCCTTCTTAACCCTTACCTAGCGTGAATCAAAGTGAAAAATCTGGTCTCACTGCAGCAAAAATTGGATTTAGTTCATGAGCTAGAAATGAATC